AGGGTGAATTTGGTTTGAAAAGTGGTGAATTTGGTTTAAAAAGGGGTGAATTTAAAGTGAAAATGGTATATCTCAGTGCTTATTACTTTTCAGTTTATCGGTGTGTGACCTGGAAAAGAGTCATGTGTATTTTTTTGTTTCCAGCAGGATTTCAGGCAGGAGGAGCCCGATGCGTACCAGCATAGTCTAGAGATAAGTGACCGCAGGTTAGGCGTACAACCTTTTTATTTCATTTTCATCCTGTCGGTTTCTTTCCCTAGTTGCTGGGAAATTTCTCGAAGAATTTTTTCGTTGTCACTCAAATAGCAGTGTCGTCGATGTCGTGCTAATTGCATATTCCGTCATTGACAATATGAGCTTCATATATAGCCGACGGCCATCTGCGTCCAGAACCAATATGGAGCCCGTTGAAATCTGTTGACCGCTGCCGAGAAAACGCATTCCTCGGCTACAGTTGGTTGCCTTTGGGGCTGAGATATGGACCACTAAACTTTGGATTTCTTTTCACAGATGCGGCTGCGCATCCATTTGTTGAAAATCATGTTTGAAAGTCGAAAAGTATGTTCACTGGTTACATTGTGAGTTTGCGAAGGTGTTGAGCTTAGTCGACATATAGTCTAACCAGTTTGGCTGACGCGCATTACTGCGCGAATTGTTAGACCGATGGTACTGAACAATGGCAGAATTTTTGTAGTGGTGGACTGGTGCGTTTTCGGCCACTTCTTTACATGCTCAAAACACGGCCCGCCCGTTTCATCATAATTCCCCTCTTTAATGAGCATGCCAACGTAACGTAAAGTATTATCACAACACTCACCATTCGTTCGAAATGAGACAACTTAAGCGGTTGAAGTGTTTCAATGTTAACAATATCGAAATCATAGTGAAGTGTTCTTATAGTGCAGTTCATTGCGGACGGTTGGGCGTGTTCGTGCGGCTGCGTTTGGCGCGGTGCCAAACTCGTTCTCCACGAGTTGTTCAAGCGAGCAAATGACAATACTGTACTCATACCTTTCCGTCATTACTTTTACTTCTCTACTGCTTTTGTCGCATGCCCGTTTCAACAAGAAGACAGAGAACAGCTCAAAGAGGGTGACACACTCATACTGGCTGACACGCCCAACCGTCCGCAGCGAAATAAAAAAAAAAAAATTAAAGAAAAGGGTTGGGGGGGGGGTAACAATCCCTTCTTTAAAAAAAAATTTTTCCCTTCCGTGAGCAGCTTTCACATATCGGTCTATTGGCGACTCTTATCATTCCTCACTGGCAAACAATTTTAGGCTTTTACTTCTGGGTGGTACTCGAGAGTTTAGCGGTCGGATCAATTCCGACTACATCCTAAGGGATAGGGACATCTTGGCTTACTAAGGTTCAGCCCATTAACTCTTGTGCCACGGTGCTCAAGTTCAGTCGCAGGCATAGTAAAGATGCAGCTCCCCGTTGTTGCTCCGACTTTTGCATTGAATTTTGAGGCCTTCCTGAAGCGGGCCTCCTATGGTACTTTATCGGCTATTATCACGGTCCGCTACCCACCAATAATGTCCTATCTTCCCCCGGCACTATTTACCCTTTACTGCCCCAGTCATCCGAAATCAGGCCAGTTCCTGACCGACTTTTTTCTCCGTGGGCAGATTTTGCTCAAATGTTGTCTCCTGGGGTAGTTTGACCTCCAGAATACGAATATCACATTCGCTCAGCCCAAAAACTTCCTGGCGCCCGCGCCACAGGCGCCAATGATTTGGGGTATTTTGGCGCCGGTGCCCGTGGTGCGGGCGCCAGGAGGTTTCGGGTTGAGCGGATGTGATATTCGTGTTCAGGGGTCAAACTACCCCTGGGAGCAAGTTTTCAGCGAATTTGGTGATTTCGAGTATTTTGGCGCCGGCGCCCGTGGCGCGGGCGCCAGGAGGTTTCGGGTCAAGCGGATGCGATATTCGTGTTCAGCGGGTCGAACTACCCCTGGAGCCAAGTTTTCAGCAAATTCTGCCCACGGAGAAAAAGTCGGTCAGGAACTGGCCTGATTTCGGATGGCTGGGGCAGTAAAGGGTAAATAGTGCCCCTGCCCATATATTACTTCTTGAACAACGTTCTACCGTCGCTGTGACGCGCACTATGGTATTAGTGACCATCCCTTTCTAAGGCTCCTTATGGTATCTTATCAGCTGTTATCACTTCCTGCCACCCACCGAAAATGTTCCCATCCTGTCCTCTACCTTACTTCTTGGAACCAACGCTCTACCGCTGCTGTGACGCGCGTTGTGAATTTGGTGACCCTCGCTTTTCTAAGACCCCTATGGTATCTTATCAGCTCTTATCAGTTCCTGCCACCTACCAGTAGTGTTCCTGCCCAACCTCCTACATCACTCATCAGTTTGAGCGCACAGTCGCTGTTTTGAAGGAAGTTTTATGAAATTTATCAGGGTCAAACACACATACCCACCCAAACAGACATTAAAGGCACAGTTCGCGACCGCAAATTGCGGGAAACGGAACTCAAATAGGCACAAAAAAGTGCTAAGTATCTGATTAGCGGAGAAAAGCAGCAGAAAAGCAGTCCGAAATGTTATAGAGAAAGATAACATAGTGGCTACTAGCTAGTAGCTAGCAGCCGGTGAGGGTCGGCATGGGCCTAAGGGGTGTCCATGGGCCTAATTAGTCAGCTTCTAGCGGAGTTCTTGCCGTTTTTCACATTTTGAAAGTAGCGCAGCCTCAAAAATCGCCTTCCGGATCGTCCGACACATTTGAGAGGTCATAGCCTTATTTTATCGCGGAATGTGCCTTTAAGCGGATTATATATAGTAGGATAGAAGAGTAAGCAGGTCCGTTGAAGATGCTCATAGTGAGACCGCAGCATTGGACAAGCAGTCGAAGAAGCGAGACAGTGCTGTGCAGGTGAGAGGCAGAAACCAATTATGAGAAAAAGGAAGTAAACAGCTAGAAAACAAGAGAGACTACAAGTTGGTCCAGAGCAAAAGAAGCTTTGCACTTCACAACTGCGTCTATTATAAGACTGCTGGCATATTTTGTCCCCCGATGGATGAGCTGTCTTGAACGGATGGCGAAGATTGTGAATCGAGCTTCAAGGGATTCCATATATACCATTTTCACTTTAAATTCGCCCTTTTTCAAACCAAATTCGTCCTTTTTCAAACCAAATTCACCCTTTTTCAAACCAAATCAAGAACCACACTTATTAGGGCGGGCAACTCATCAACCAGATCACGCCAGACATCACTGCGAGCCCCGCCCCGACGGCCACGCCCACTTGTCAGCGCGGACATAGATTCTCAAATCTTGTTTCATAATGTAAATTGCAATCGGCAGTATAGAGACTTGGCTTGCATGCTAGGGTATTGCTGATCATTCGGAATAAACTTTGCCGGATTTTCTTGTTCCGAGTGACGTACGAGAGAAGAAGGAAAACTAAATGGATAATATGTAGTACTGATAATTTCTACTCAATTGCATATGAACGCTATTCTGTAAGGCTTACAAAGCCAAGAGCATTAGGCACGCACTTCTCTCCATCACCATTTCCATCAGCAAAAATCGGAAGGAATTTGAGGCAACGAAAAAAAAGAACTAAGGTTGAGAAAGCTTCGAAGTTTACTTGAAACCCAGTTCTTGAATTGATGGCTTTCAGAGAACGTCTATCCTGGAATTGCGCAAAAACAAGACTGAAGAACTGAAGTCTGCCGCCTCCGCAGCTATGGCCGAGGTGAAGAAAGCAAAGCAAGAAGGTACGATGATCCAGATGATTTAATTTTTTTAACTTCCACCTTCTAACTTGTCCTTCTAGAGTACATGCTAAATGTCACTGTTTCTTAACAAGGAAAGATACGGACAGACATGTCAGTAGGTTAGAAAAGAAGCAAAGATTCCAAGCTTCCACTTCTTGCCTTGATGTCCTCTGTTGGACTTGAAGACACATTTTGCGATGCCTCGGTGAGTAGAGAAACAGGGACGTATCCGGTGCGTAGAGAAACAGGGACGTATCCACGAGGAAGGCGCCATGGCTATGAGTCTTCACCGTCCAATAGAATACATCCTTAGCGACATTGCTCAGCTCCCACCAGATTTATTATGATACTTCCTTCGTAGTATTAATGAGAAGTGAACATAGAACAGGAATTATTCGGACGCGTTCGTCTCTTTTTGTCGCACGTAGCGGCCATCACAATTTATTTAGTTTTGTTTTGTTTACGCACCGACAATGCGCCGATGCTTTCCCTCGAATCCTGGGCTAGGTTCTTTTGGTCAGAAAATTATAACTGCATGAGTTGAACAGCGTAGTTGGATTGAGAGTCACTTGTGTCCAACCCCCGCGTATATTCTAAGATTCATGAAGAGGTGTGCCCGCTGGCGCTCCCATCTGCAAGGGTCCAGATCGAAGAGAGGCAGATGCATAAGAGAAGAGAATTTGGTACGGAAATACATAGCAGTAGCCGAGAAATTCCTCGCTAAAGCGCGATGTGGACTTCAAATTCCCATGGTTTTAGTTTTACCATTTCTTGCTAGACAGGCAATAGATTTGATTTTGTCGTCCTGGTGTGCGAAAGAAGCTGCGTTGTGATTCTCCCATTCTGGCGCTATGAATGGTCCTGAGCTTCATGTTTGTATGAGTTGTCTATTGGCAGTCAGGCGCAGATACGGCATTGTTGGGACAATTGCATCAGGGGTTGTGCTTAGTAGATGGGGAGGGGCCGTATGCGGTCCTAGTAAAATTTTCCCCAAGCTACGAGGAAAACCTTCACCTCGTATTGACTTTTGCAGATGGGAAAAGTGGTTAGAAGTTGGGAAAATTTAGAAAGATGATTATTAGGATGGGGTAGTGTGTAGGTGGTAATGGGCACTAACTATGAAGGAATTCCTCTGGGTCGTACAGAAACCGTCATTTAACTCCTCACAAATGGCTCTGCCCCGATCCTTCTTCTCGCCCCAGTGGGAAACCTTCGTTAGACTTTCAATCTTATCCCAAATCTAAGATCAGGAAGCCGCTGCAAATGATAAAGTATCAATCAAGGATCACTTCGAGAGGTTCGTCACGGGTCTAGGTTGTGGTCGCACGGGGAGAGCCAATCGCTCTGACGCCAGGTGATCACCAGGTAGCCCATCTGAAAGTCGGAGCAATCCGTAATAGACCCACACAACTGACATGATGCTGTTCGTATTCTTAATCGGTTACCCGTGAGTACATTCCTGCTACCCCACAATTTACCAGACCATGGTGACTCAGGTGAGGCTGGTGTTGTTTTGAAAGTGACGTTGTAGTCCCAGGTAAAAATTCTGAATATAGTGACCTTCTACTTAATAAAAGCTTACGAATCTCTTGTTTTGATATCCTCCAGAGAAGCTGCAATCTTTAAGTAATTCCGTTTCAGTGTCAGTTAACCGAGCGGAAATCATGAAGAAGCAAAGGGAAGCGGAAGAGCTGAGAAAAGCCGCGCTCAAAGCTGGTATTCAAGTTGGCGCCGAAGAAGAGAAGCACGTGGGTCTTATCCATTTAAAAGACACATTTTGCGATAATAATTAGATGGGAGGAAATCGGGGAGACCTGCCAGTTGTGTCTTTCACATTGCTGTGACCCTCTTTCTAATATAGCGAAGAGGAAATGGAGGTGGAAATGTGCTACAATAAAAATGTAGTTATGAATGTTCGCCCATTTTTCCACCCTAGTTATCACGAAATGTATTTTGAAGTATGTGTTTTAATGCGGCAGATGTTTAAGAATCAAGAGATCACAGCGGCTTTGAGTGCTGTGGTGAACGACGTTGAACGAATTCCTCCGATTCCGGTGGTTGAAGAGCCAGTACCAGCAACTGGAGAACCTGAAGATCCTCTGGAAGTTCGTCGAAGGCAAATTCGGGAGAATATTCGCAAAGAGAGAGAAAGGTTGGTTGTTTCGCTTTCATGATCATTCTGAACTGTTCTTTTCTGACCGCAGGCGCTGGAATCTCATGGTTTCCGAATAAGGTGAATGGGTGGGGGTAGCGGGTGGGCTATATGAAAATTAATATTCTATGTGGCAAAGTAGTGGAAAAATATCGGTTTGACAAAATATTGCTTGGACCTTTATTTTTTACTTCACATCAAAAATTGCAGGCGGCGCGCTTGTTACCATACTTTTGGCCACCCTGTGGTGCTACACCGTGGCCGGGTGATCGCCCGAACCTTACCATATTGCCAAAAAAAGATTTACTCTACAAGCCGTTCCTAGAGAAGATTCCGCAGATGGATGTTAGTTAGAATCGGGTCATAATGAATGGAATGAATGGAATGTCGGCGGGTTGACTATCTGTTTCCAGAATATTCAGTAATTATTGATGGTTCCCTAACTCTCATCCTAATGTGCATGCTCAAAATACCGAGAACCTCCAAAAGTTCAAACCTACTGTGATCGAAAGTGTTCCCTAGACCATTTTTTTTTGTTTTGAAACCCTCAGTCGTTCTGATGTTATTCATAGCTCCCAATACCCCAGTGAAAAGTACCTCCGATAACAGCTGATCAATCTCCCGACGATCCGATCCTCACTGATTGATCAGATCATGCGCCTAAGCCTTGTTACCAACAGCCGTGAGATATGAAATGTATTTAGACTTGATCGCGAGAGGAACAGGTAGGCAGCGCGCAAGTAGAAGTCATAATATTGTGGTGAGATAGGGAGGAAAATACATTAATTATTCATGGGCCAGTATTTCTAGCCCGTGATCTCTGCAAAATATTGAGTGCACTGCAATTTTGTTTGATTTATGCGGAATCATTGCCTAAGTCCTGCTCTGATGGTTAGGGCGGGCGCCACTGTTACCATAGTGTTCCTTCTTTCTATCCGCAGTTTTCTCCACCTATTTTATTTATGTTACACTTGTTTTAGTCATTTTGATGGTTAAAGTCCACGTCAATCATTTCGAGGATGCGCCCCGCTTTGCTTCTCCACTCATTCGTTACAGCATTTTGAACGCCACTTGGCCCACACAATTAATTACGTGGTCAGGCGATATACAATTTAGTGCTTGTACCCCCCAACATTGGCGAGTTGGTACCTATTCACTTGCCCCTGAGGAATTAAACATTGGATTCAATTCGTGCGCAGTACCCTGCGCCGTTGCACCACATCCGCATGAATAGTATGTAATATTTATAACTTAATACTCATTGGCTGAGACTCTTTTTGGGGAAGGCTACCCCTCGAAAGGTTCGTTTCGAGAGCCCTTTCTGCAGTTTATCAACTCATCTTCCGATTTGCCAATGCTTTCGCCTTCTGTACAAATATGGGCAAAACGGAAATATGCTTAGCCGTTCAAGCAGTATCTCTCTCCTCCCTGTACCCAACTACCCAACTCACGAGTCATGGGTTTCACGAGCGACCTTCTTTTTGGGCCGCCCACAATCGACCCCTTCTATTCTTATTCTTAATGCGCAGTTAATTTGCAGACTGCCAGCATGTTACTGCCATTCATTAGAATTCTGGAGGCTTTACGACGACTGCATGTCGGCTTATTCACCAATTTGTGGCAGCTAGCCAATTTCCAAGAAATTTCTTCCATCTTAAGCAACCGCAGTACAAATCCCTTCGATATAGAAATGTCACAGATGACGACATTCGAATCAGATTATCAATCCCGTGACGCGAGGGCCGCATTTGGCTAATGCCATGCCTACGCTGCGCTTTTTTTTACAATTTTGAATATCCTAAGGACATTCATGGTGCGAGCGTTCTTTTTTTTTTGCATTCTTGGTGATAATCTGTCAGCTAATTTTATCACTTAGAATATATGCATAGTTATTCTAAAAGTTTGAAAATCGTGAAGCTCATATTGCTTTCAATCTGTCCGGGGGCGTTATATCCGCGGAAGACATGGAATGAACCCTTTTACGGCGTTTTCCACCACTGGTTGTTTTTCCCTGAAACAGTCCCTATTGGTAGCGAACACATCTGGGAACGGGCTCATTCCACGCCTCAGATGTTTTCAGTTCCAATTTTCCAAGCTGATCGCTTTTTAGTTTTCATTCTTCATTGGGCCATCCACTAATTAAGTCCATGCTTTTTTTTCTTCCCAGTTTATGTGGCGAACACTCGTTGTAATCAATTGAGTGAGTGAATAATCATAATAAATAAGTCTAATAAATAAATAAAATAAACAATGTTGAACAGCTTACAAAGAGGAGCAGAAACAAGTTTATCTACCTCGAAAAACGGCCAGTAAAAACATGAATAAAAGGACGAGCTTTTGCCTTCTTTTTGTCGCTCTTAACTGGAGTTTTATTTTTGGCTACTGAGTCTCAGAGCAAGTCAGCATTTAAAATGTTTACCACTAGCTCGTAATTTTATTAAAGTTACTACGTGAATGTTCGCCATCCCCCCCAGGCGTCTCGTTTAATGCATTCACAACACAACTTGTGTTGTAGTCGGGCAAGCACTTCATGGACTCTTTCATGTTTTTGCATTTTTCGTGTGACAGCTGTTCGTGGTGCTCAGAGGAATTTTCTCAACGCACTGCTGAGAGCGTCATATTGCACTATAAATAACTATTAGTATTTTATTTATCAATCTGTAAGCGCTAGAAAGTCATGAGAATCACAAGAATTCGAAATATTTTCACCATATGTCTTGCTAGAAGTGGCAGGGAGAAGAAGGAGAGTGCGACAAGTGTAAGCGGCAAATCGCGCCGCAAACTACGCAGTCAAATTTTGGATTGTCTTCCTCCAGAGTCAGCCACGTACATCTTCTTTCCGGGGTTTCCACCAGACTCGCCTGGGAGGAGAGAAACACTGATTTCGTTACCGTTTGACGTGCAGTAAATAACATGTGATAGGCTGAGACACACTCAGAATGCTACCACGATCCAGAATGAGGATGATCGCGCGACGAATCCCAAACAGGGATTAACCAACATTGAAAGTGTCGTTCTGCAAAAGTGTAGTTCTAGATTACCTTTTCCAGAACCATCGATGGGAATTTTTCAAGAGAACTTTGGCTTATATTTGGGAAGGGAAATCCAACTGAATGAGCGGGGAGGGGTATGTATCCTAAAAAATACTTGTCACAGTGCTTCAGTATGTAGTATTCAGTATGTAATGTTGTGTTTTGACTGACCAACAAACAGTTTACGTCTACCGGGCTACGCAGCAGCTGTGAGAAGCACTGTGACTGAGCTATTGCAGTACATGTGTGAATTGGCAGTCAAGATCGTTTTTCAGAACAGAAAACGGACGTGCATTACAGAGTTACCTGGTTTGGCCGAGGTTTTCTCTAAGAATACACCAAGATCTCAAAAAGTTCAAGGCCCAAGTCTGCTACGGAACACCCTTGATTGCGCGGGACTTTTTTTCTCAGAATGCTCCTAAAGATTGTTGGTTGATAAATTAAATTCGGTTGAACAGTGAACAGAAGCTGCAGCCTACGATGTATTGTCTACGTTGAGCAGTCATTGTTGGTCGGTACTGTCATATTCCACCAGAATTAGAAGGGATATTGGCGCTGGTGGGATTCGACACTGAGAGCGTTCGCAGCTCTGTGCTGCTGGCGAGCCAAAGAGCGCCTGGTTCATCATTATCGCAGTGCATTCGGGTATCACCATTGGTCAGTAGATTGCGAAGTGGTCATTCTGTCAAAAGCAGTTCCCGCGGTCAAGTGTTACGGATAGTAGGCGCTCAGTATGAGCCAGCAGCCCATGAGTAATTACAAGTAGAGAAAGAAGCAAGAAAAAAAACTCTGGAATCACTCTGAACAGGGATCCCCTTAGCAGCATGGCTGGCGCCTCGGGCGAAATTGTCGGACAAGCCCAATCAGCAGGATTGTCGTGCAACCGATTCCCGGATAGAGCATAGTAAATCGCCCTACGACACCACAGGTAACGCTACGGTAACGCTGTACCCTCGCTATTCCACATAAACCTTTATTTCGCGAGTGAAAGTAATGACGCGTCTCTGTTTTCTTTATCTCGCCGTTTCGAGTGACGAAATATTCTCTGCGAATGCGGACAACGATACCAAATGCACGAGACATTTCGCGGACCACTTGGTCGCGAAAACTGTCTTCCAAGTAAAAAAAGTAAAGTCTCAAGGATGTTGACTGGTTTTCGCTTTTAAGCATCGGAAAAGAATGTGTTGAATCCCAACTACCGGTTCGTATATATTGATAGCCTTGACTATGCCTGTAACCTCACTTGATAGAAGAACTCTCCCATAAACTCGTGATTAGTAGAGGATTAGGTTTGCAGGCCTCACCAGAAACTCCCCAACAAGCTTTTCTTGCTAATGACTTGATCAGAGCGTACACATGTAGTAGATTCCCCCTAAAAGATATGGACCACTCCAATTATTCTCAGCGTAGAGACGCGTTAGAAATAATCAGGACCAAGCACCAGCGAGGGAGCGTCTGCGCCGGCTTTACGACTTTTTGTGTTCCGTCTGTGATCAAAACAATCTCAATTTATTATCCCATTCGAGCTGGAGTGGATGAAAACTAATCGTCACCCTTAGCTCGACAGCGATTGCTCATGTTCCGACGTCACAACTTTAATTCACGCCCGAGGTACCGTTTCAGGTCCAAAATCCGTTGTGAAATCAAGTAAACCCCTCAGACACGCTCTTTTCGTCAGTCGACGATGTTGTGCGTGGGTGGGACTTTCAGCAATTTTTCGACCAGATCGTCCTCATCAGAGGGTTGTTTGACCGGGGCGTTGATACTCTGTGGTAGACGTCACAGAAACAAGCGCTCCGCTTCTGTGGTGGTGGACTGGGCCATTGAGAAAGGGTAGATTATGAGTAAAAGCGCCATCAAAGAACCTCTACACTTAAGTGCGTCCATTCACTTCACTAGAGTTCGATTTACCCGAGGGTGCCCACCAGGGCACGTCTTGGAGTTTGCAGCAATTTTTGTGAAATAGGAACATCTCTCTGAATTCTCCCTCTGGTGCGACTGCCTTCCCACATCCTGTCTAGGTTCTTATGACACATTTTTCCGAAATTTTCCTCGTCTCGAGCAGGGAGGTGGTACATACCTCCGACTCACCATTAGAAATTGTAGTTTTGCGGCTCCACCAGCTTGGGTTGAAGGATAGTTTCAATATCTTCAATGTTACGATGCTGCCTCTGATTTTGGATGGAAATCGATTATGGCTCAACTGAAGTAACTACATGGTGCTTGTTTTTTTGAGTCCACTCCAATTTTTACGAATCTGATTATACTGCTGTATTGTATTATGCGAACCGGTCATGCGAATATCTACCACAGGAATTCCAAAAACCACTCTCTAGCATCGACTTGATTATGGTCCGATCAATTATATAGTTGTTAATTTTTAACTGCAGTTTTATGCTGTCCTGTTTTCACAAAGAAGAGACTCTGTTTGCGAGATAGAGCCATTAGGCCGCTTGGTTGACGTATGTAAGAGCAACGCCCGCCTCATAAAGACATAGCTAATAGGCTTGAAATTGATCAGTTTTCATGAGAAGCTGGATATTATAGCTGAATAATTATGAAAACAATACAGACTGTACCTTCCCTTGACCTTTGCCTGTAGAGTGCCAGTGTTCTACCGCAGAAATTTCCGATTCCTTTTTTGCAAAACAGCTGACTCCAAGGTGCATAAGAGAGCAGCCGTCTCCTGCCCCTCTTTATTTTACCTGCTACAGGTGATACCCTTCTTGCCGTGCCGGTTGTAATGAGCCCTGCCAGTAAAACCAAGCGCATTTGTTCGCTCATAAGTGCTTGTTAAGGTTTTTCAAAAGAGAAAGCCGCTGACAGATTCCTTGAGAAGACGCTGCACATCAGTCGATAGCGCTCCTTTTCAAGTAAAAGAATCGACACCTGGGGATTATACAACGTAGAGTAAATAATGCGCTGCTATTGATGGGTCCTTCACAAGATGCGCCAATCATTCAACTTTGGTCAGAGTCGCAGTGCCTTTTCAAATGCGGAACATTAACAGTCCATTTCCCGGACATGAACAAGGTGTGGCTGCGTACTTTACTTGAACATAGCGTGAGATTCGTTTTTCTTGGGAAATAACCACTTAACACAACTGTCATCCTGCTCTGTACCTGAACGAAGAATTGTATACAGTGGTCAGTTGTAACATCCCAACAAAAGTGGAGCCGCCGACACCATCAAAGGCAGTAGCACGATAAATCCCCCAAGACCAGTAGGATTAATACGCCGGAATTCCTCGACCCTGAACAGGCGTTGCATAATGCATTTTCTAAGGGAAGGTGCACTTATAAGAGCCCTGTCAAGCTACAACATACCGACCCAAACGTCCGCCACGCCCGCTCGCCCACTACCGCCCATGGCAACCGACCGTTCAATGACGCTCTTGATAAGATTTTATCTGCTAAGCAAATTATGAGGCGATACTGGTGTGCAGTGATGCTGCATGGACATATGAGTGCACATATGCAGCCATACCTTCGGTAGTGGTTATTGGCAAGATGCCTAGCATGGGAAGGGGGGGGGAAACTCGTCCAAAATCGATTACTAACGCATTGAGAACGAAGGCTCTTTCTTCGCAGGATTTTGACCGTTTCCCTCCGTTCTTTCGCCATTTCCCCCACTAATATAGCTGCCGGCTGTTAAGCAATTTCGGGCGCAATTAGGAAACCCACTCGTGGCTAACTGCCTCCAAATGAACTACGTGACCATGCCCGCTCCATATACGGAACAGTATAAACCTAATGTAACAAACCGACGGGTAATTAAGTCTTTTTCTCTTTACGGAGAAGTATTAATAGTTTTATGGAGCAGAATACAGGCGGAGGTAACTTTATTTTCCTAGACATTTCTTCCCACCCCGAATATAAGGGGAATCCAAAGTACAACTTTTGTGTTTTCCGACGCAAATAACTAGATCAGAACTGGATAACGGGGCTGGGAAAGAGAAGCGGCATATCCGAGATTTGATCCCCAAAACTCATACACATAACCGGTCCACTCGCATAACCCCTCTGCCTCTTTATTTTAGGCATAAATGAAGAAATAAAATAAAAACATACCCATTGAATTGGATGGAATGATAACTTTTCGTTTCAGTTGTTGGGCTGGCACATGTACCTTCCTGCAAACGGAATGTAGGAAAACCCAAATAACCAATCCTGGCTCACATGATATCAGTCGTAATTGCAGCAATTTATCATTGACTTATTGACACTCGGCGATTTTGTTCACCACTTCTACTGTTATAAAAACTGAATTTGAATAGTTTCTCTAGGGCAAGGTTCTTCCCTCATTGGGCGATCCCATGGGTTTCCTCGTGGACGAAGTGTCTCTGGTGTGCTGAATGCCGCTGACAGTTCGTAATTGGTACTTTCGTATTCATGCCGAAAACAAATTAGATGTCTATCGCGATTGCACAGTCATTTTCTTAGCACGCCTACCCCCCCCCCCCCCGCCTCTGCAAATAGACTGAAGTTTTTTTGGTCATCAGGTTCTGGTGTATTCTATGTTGACTCTTTCAGAAAAGAACATGTAAATCAAACGATCAGAGAAAAGTTGGCCGCAATGGAAGCCCGAAAACAACGAATGAAGGAGATTCGTCGGCTACTCACAGAAAATCAAGGTAACTTCTGATTTCTGACAGATGGGTCTTATGGCCGCCTTATGAAATTTCCGACGGTTTTTTCACCCCTTTAATGTTCCTTAATTCCAAGTTCAAGAATCTGCTTGGTTAGCTTCCTCATTGGTGCGCCCTTTCATCCAAGATGGTGTAGAGTAAGGCACACCACTTGGAAATGTGCAGTGGCTGGATGTCCTCGCCTATGTCTTCCTTGATAAGGCCAGCATAAGCCGTGCCTTCTAGAAAATTTACGTTCTACTGTGAGGTGATTTACTTCTTCTGACTTCTGACCCTGCTGGGATATATAGCCCTCGGATGGATAAAGTGCCTGTCGAGGTCCCCTCCAATAGTATGTCCCGGTCAAGAAGAATGAGTGTGAAGACGGCCATCGTTAGTCTAGGAGCTGCTCAATCTTACGGGTCGCATAAGTGCGATTAGGTACATTGAGCTGCGCCATCTCCTGTGATTACTGTACTTACAGTAGTGACAAATTACAGTTGTCTCGGGACATGGAAAACTGTTCACTTATGAAGTGCCTTTCATCGTCGATGTCCAACATCCTCTGCCTACCACCTTTTGTCCACCTCCATTTCCGAAAATCGGAGAGGGGGAGGGCAGTGTACCAGGCCGCTTTCTGCATCCACTGGGAATTACCGCAACGCATGTCCTTGCTCGTGTACTGCTCGTTGTTTTCACGAGTATTAATATCCCTGTTTCGATAGTGGCTTAGAGGAATATTGCTATTCTTTTATTTCAGTAAGTTGGACCCAATTTCTAATTTCAGCAGCGGCGTCATCGATTGTGGCGGAAACGAAGAAAAAGCTGGAGGCGACCTTGTCACACGACGAAGGAGGCGAATCTGTAGCGAGTGACGCCAACACCACTTCGGATTCAAAATCAGCGAGTGACGCCAACACCACTTCGCATTCAAAACCTGAATCCGAGACCAATGGCACGTGCTCCGAAGCGACTACTCAGATCTCGTTGGAAGATTGTACTGAAGACGAGGGGCAGCAAATGTCCTTAGAAGATCACCTTGAAGACGAGGAGCAACAAATGGACGAGGTTGAAGAGCAGACAAGACATGAGATCGAGGAAACATTCCGGAGCGCTGAATTGAATCTGCAGTGAGTTGTTTCCGTAAAAAAGTTGTAATAAACTAACTATGGTCGCTCTCGGCATTGTCAGAGCCTGTTAGCGCTTTCTCTGAGGTTGCTCCCTTACCTTCTTGATGGATAGAGCTGGGAAAAGTGCACGAGTAGGTTGTTCGGCTCTGACAAACGTTCTCTTCTGCTGCTCGTTTTTTTGAGGTTGTGACAGTTGCAATATTAGTGTGATGAATAGATGAGGTTGAAAGCCCAACTGTCTCGTTTGCCCCTTGTGCCCAGAGCCTTGTTCCCGTTGTGCTGCCTCGCCATGTATCACTGGAAGAAAGTTTCACAGTAGGTCTTTTTTTCTACAACGTTTCCATTCAGTGGATTAGCAAGAAGGCTCTGTTCGTTTGTCAGGATTAGGATATTCTTCCCGTCGATTGATCCTGAGTTGTTTGACGACCACAGATGGTGGATTCCACTTGGTCCAGTTTGGACATTGACTGTAGTGATGATCATAATCCCAAATGGGTACCTGGTATGGGTTTTGCCGAGAATGGACTAAATGCTTGAATTTAATACGTATGTCCCTTGTAATTTTGGATACCGGACGCTGCATTGGGATGGGTGAAACGGCGATAGTAGCACGAACCCCCCCCCCACTTGTACCCTCTAATTTCTCAGTTCAGTATGGCATCCTCTCGTCGTAACCATCTATCATCTCATCAAATTTTTCCGGCGAGCAGGGGAGCCGAGGGCTAGGGGCAGGGATGGAAGGAGGATAAATCAACAAAAGGAAAATGCTTAGGCAGCGAAACCCTTCCCAAAAGCCTAAACCTCCTTCCCTACTCACTTCCTTCCGCCAGACCGCCAGTGACCAAGTGCAACCCCTCACGAGCTTCTCAGCAACGGTTTTCTACCATCGTTGGATTTGTACCTTTTTGGGTTCGCCCATGAAGCTGTGTAGGGGGCGAAGGGCGCCTTGAAGGAGGAGAGCCCTTGGGGTGGTCAACAACCTATTTTTAGCCTCTTAGCATCAGAAATGTCCAGGTTCAACCCGTTGGCGTCGAAGTCTGAAGTTACGTTCTCAAATCATTGAAACACGGTTCGAGACAGTTCAGTGCCTCAGAATTTTTTTGTAAGTCAAAATTCTGAAAAATAAAAGGATATAGCGGTGTGTAATTGTGCTGATCATTCCCTTCTTGGACTGCGAAAGGTATTCCACACCTATTCGGAATTGCGACGCCTCATGAGTGCGTTATAACCTACACATTTGTTGTGGCTTGCTTCACGTGCATGATTACATCTTCCTTCAATCAATCGTGTACCTTGGTTCCCCGGAGCCGATCAATCGGTGAAGTATTGCTCTTGATGCAGTAGAAACTTATGTTCTAACAGCAGTTGTCTTTGTTATGGCTTGTAAAGTAACTAACAGAACATCTATCATATCGAATGCGTGGCGCATTCCTTATGAATATTGAACAAATTTAGCCATTTTCACAGAGAGGTGGTCAGGAGGTACCTTCTAGCGGAGCGACTCGTTTATATTAGGTTGGCGGGAAAGTTCTGTCACTCTTTTCCGAACTCAAATTACTTGCCCATTACCAAGAGTGGTAACCGGTAATGTAAGCTCTTATACAACAAGGAGTGGTCTCTCTGTTAGTACCACTCGCTTGCCTCTTGCTCCTTCTTCTGCAATATGCACAAGGATTTTATCCGCTACCATCAGCCCGACCCCTCCAAACGCGGGCTTCCCTTTCCTAAAAACTCTTTTTTCCCCACCACCATGGGACCGCCCAGCGTGTTAGGCTTGCGATGGCCAAAAAGCTGGGAATAAGCACGATGCCCTCAATCATCGGGCAACCTTACCACAACAGTAGCGCTTCGAGGCGGGAGCCTAGGAGCCTACAGTTTTGATGGCGAAGTGAGTTTAGGTTAACCTGCAAAGCTCAGGCTCGCAGGGAGGCTGCTGAGTCGGGAAACTGCTGGATGAAGAAGGTGCTTCCTTGGTCAAGGCGTACGCAAAGCAGCTACGAGATCTAAGGCGTATCGTGGATCAGAGGGAAAAATTTGTCCCGCACAGCCTGGCCTTACACCAAGAATTAGCTGCACGCGCATCCGCGTCCAAAAAGTTCGAGCTCGTACCCCTCATGCAATGGAACGCTTGGTTTTCTTCCCCTTGCACACTGGTGTAGCACACGACAATTCCCCCCTTGTGTACATAGCATGATTACCATCCGATAATCAATGCGTTACGTGGACGAGAAAAATGTCCATAAACCGGCAAGTTCCACGTCGAGGCTATCCAACTTTGCGTCGGTGCCTCCCTGACATAGTAAAAACGATGGCATCCATGGGTGCTCAAGAAGCTTGCGTAAGCCGACGCCGCCAGTGACAGTTGCTGTAACAACTTTGATCCCATCTAGCTCCTCTCTAATAAGAAAAAAAAAAAAAATTCCCAATTCGAAAAAGTGACAGCTTTCCTTGCCAAATCCCTAACATTTTCAACAGCTTCCCACATAAATCGAATGTTCTGCACGCATGATGCGCCCGTGCGATGGACCTCGCCTCCTGACACCCAAGACATTACAACTTCCATACACTAACAATGAACGAGGTGGCGCTGGCTGAGCGCATTTATTCGAACGCGAATGTAGGATGGTTTTTTCGGGACATATCCCCCTTCGAGAGCCAAATACATCCTGTCCTGTATTGGGCATAGACATGGCTAAATTCATCCCAAATCTGCAGCACCCTCCAAAGAGCCGGCCCACGTCCGAATCAAAGTCGCAGCCATGCCCACCCATCTTAGACATAGGGATTTGACCCGATTTGGGGTCACTAAAAATGAAAGCCAAAATGTTGTTTGGATACGATTGCTCGAAGAGCCACGCATATAACGTCCGTAGAGTTTCGAAGGAGTGCGGAGGGGCAGCTCTGTATGGGCACCTGTTATTTTGTTATAGCACATAGATCAGCTGTCTGAATAAAGGTACTTTCACATGGTATGTAAGTGGCCCATGAAAAACCATATCCTGAAAAATCACTCAGGTTTCGACAGGGCTCCATCCAGAAGGTTGTGCGTGCTTCAATTCGTCCTCAAGCCACTGAACAAAACTTTCTTGTTCGATGAAAGATGTGAAAGAGCCGCAGCATCGTGTGTCGTTAACGTTCCTAATATATGCTGGACCCTCTTTCCTTTTCGTTGAAAGGACCCAGGAAAACGCAGGCGCATGGTCCCCCTCCCCCTTTCTTTCGCTGCCCCATGCGTAGTCCCAAGGCTAATACCGATATTGCACCAGCACATCAGTGCTTGGTTCCTCGACTACTCTTCCACCCTCTGGCCAAACTTTATGTCCCCACATTGACTTGAGAAGCGAGCTACTAATTTAATATCGCTTGTAGAGAGGAACGTTCAAACGCATTCTTCGAACCATTATCTTTTCTCTGGGACGGGCGGAAGTACTGTAATAACAACCACTATCACTTACCACGCGCGTCGTTCCGTGGTCTGATCCCAGATCGCCCCCTCCCACCCAACCAAGCCCTTCATTGCTCCAGTTTGGTGAAGAATTCTCTGGAAGCAGGACAATGCTGACATGTATAGTGGCTGACGCCGCAAGTCACCGTGAGGGCCAGATAGCCTGGAGATGCCACTACGATTACGGTTGAAACTAGCATACACGGCGCATCCTTTTCCAGTGAATAAAAGCGGTGCGCATAATGTACTTCAAAGAGTTTGTCTGACTGTGAGCACCTGATTCCTTCTACTCTTTTACTGAGAGATTACTAGGAGGAGTGACTAGCATTCAATTTCCATAATATCAACTTACATGTTTTCTCTGATATTTTCTGATTTCCGATGTTTTGAAAAATTTCAGGAATCTTACTCTCCTTCGCCAACGGCTTGAGCACATTCAATCACAGGGAGGGGCAGGACTATCGCAAGAAGACCAAGAATTTCTGGATCAACTCGATGAAACCGCTGCTGCTGTGGTTGATGGGGGACGCGATGGGACGAGAAGCAGTGACGAGGGAGGAGGTGGCGGACATGCCGATTACAAAGAGGTGCGGCCCCCCGCTTGATTCTTTTTCTTGACACCATTTCGGCTACTTCATTTTCAGACCATGGGTATTTAGTTGCTTTGTAACGCGTTTGCTGCAAATCACTTATCGAGAGAAGGGGAAGGGGGGAGGGGAGGGGAGGGGGTTGAGGCAGTGATACAAAATCGAGGGAATCAACAAAGTTTTTAGAAGATTTTGAGGGTCTCAGTCTTACTGTAGAGTTGTCCACAGAAATCTCAGGGGAGACATTGGTTTTGTGGCTTTCATGATAACTCTGATTTTCTACCTTTACAAAGTTATTCGAAATTACTCGATTGAATATGCATGTTTCTGCCAACTATGTACTAATCGATTTGACTCGTTTTACTTTTTTTTAATTTGGACCCTTTTTTCAAAGTTTTTTTCCGGGTTTTCGAGTACTGAATGTTACGCGATTTGACGGAATTTCTTGAATCTAAATACTGAATGCTCCACGACAAAGGTAGATCCTGGAGGCCACCCCAATGCACGAATAAGCCACGTCGTTTCTGCTCGTTTGGGCCCTCTCGCCGAGACACCATGAAGTGTATTCTTATCCGTAATCCATCTCTCACATAGGGTACACATACAATCAGCTGGCGAACTGTTTTGGACACCATGTGCGCCAGA